ATATCAAGATCTCGTTGAAGCATAGCAGAATTTACGACAGTATTGTAAATCTTGGTGTCGTCGGCATAAGCTGAACATGTGGAGGAAATCAATGCGGGCAGGTCACTTGTATACAGAAGGAACAGCACTGGCCCCAAGACAGAGCCTTGAGGAACTCCACTTGCTACATGATGAAGGTGAGACTGGCTATCACTGACGCGCACAGAGAAAGTCCTCCCGGTGAGAAAAGCTTTAATCCACAGTAACAACTCGCCTCTTATTCCCATACATTCCAACTTAAACAGAAGCCTTCTATGTGGTACGCGATCGAAAGCCCTAGAAAAATCTAAGTAGATTATATCAACACGAGTCTTTGTGTCCAGATACTGAGTCCAATCGTTGAGAGAGTGGAGAAGGTTGGTCATTATTGATCGACCAGGGAGAAATCCATGCTGATTCTTAGGGATAAGGTCATTTTCGAAAGCAAATGACTGGAGCTTATGTAATATGATTCTTTCAGCTATTTTGGCGGCTATAGGAACGAGACTTATTGGTCGATAATTTTTAGCGGAGGATTTGTCGCCCTTTTTGAATACAGGGGTAACAGAAGCACTAAGCCAGCATGAGGGTAGGGTATGAGATCTAAAAGACGATGTGAATATCAAGCTTAATGGTAGGGCCAGTGCTGAAGCGCAGTTTTTAAGTACAGCAGCCGTCATCCCATCTTTACCAGGGGAGGAAGAGGTCTTCAGATTTCGCAGGTGCATTAATACATCTTCAGGCAGGAACTCAACTTCGCAAAGTCTGTTGGGACACTTATGGCAGATAGTGGTCGGTAGATAGACATGTGATACTTATGGTCGTATAAATTAGACCTTAGTATTTATTGGTGTGTAATGTTGTTCCTGACGGAGTGATCAGTAAATACTGGTGGTACGAACCATAGCAAATACTGATCCTGTGATACTCGCCTAATTGATAATACTGAAGAATTATAAATGCAAGCACAGGTAACATTTGATTGCAAATATTTATTGTGTATAGCTCTATAGCAGCCAAGTAAATTTAAAAGGCAAACTAGTATCTTTACGTGTTATTCCAGTAACAATATAAATTTTTTTTAATTATGAGCAGAGGCGTTTTGCAACTTTCCGTGCTGATAGTAGATGGCGCAAGTGTGGCTGGTATGGCTCGCTGTAAAGGAGTTATGGCTCATGGTTAGGGTTGCCATCCGTCCCGATATATCGGGACTGTCCCCGTTATTAGGCCTTATGTCCCGACGTCCCGATTTGACAGCGATAAGTCCCGATTTATGATTTGGATCAAAAAACAAGTAAACAAGTATTCGGTATTCGAGATTTACCGATTTTTAAATTTTAAGATTTTATTATGGTAAACCGCAAAACCAAAGATTCCTTTACACACCAGGCGATGACTCTTGTGTTCTCGCAAATTTGACAACGTCGCGTCGGTCGGTTCATCGATTTTTATCGACATTGCGACCGCGATATGCAAAGCAAAAGCAAAACAAAACCACACCGTTGTCCATTTAATTCTAGATTCGACGTGTATCTGAGTCTGTCCTACTCTGTTTGGTGTTTGTGCCAATTTAATTAAAGTGTTTGGAAGTTTGTGAAGTGGGGTGAGTAATTTTTGATTATAAATGTATAATCTTTTCCATTTATACAATTAATGATCTTTGTACTTAATTAATTTGAACAACAGTAGCACTAAAATTATGCTTTTTGTTTTTAGAATGTTACCTAAAAGAAAGTGCCACTTTTCAGATGATTATTCGAATGAATGATCTTTCACCAAAAAAGGCCGAACGAATGAAGAAGCACACTGTTTAACGTGTAATCAGTACATTTCAATAAGTCACGGAGGAAAGTCTGATTTGAAACACCACATAAATACAAAAGCCCATAAAGCATACATGACAGCAGGCTCAACAACAAGGCCAATTTCTCAATTTATGGTTAAGGAGGACACTAACGCAGAACTCTTAATTGCTGCTGCAGAAATAACTAGCGCATACAAAACCGTAAAACATCACCATTCTTTTAATTCCTTTGACTGTACTATGAAATTAAACGCTTTATTTTATCCGGAACAAAAGCCACTGCGATCGTTAAAAATATTCTTGCCCCTCACTCTGTGTCAGAGTGTTTAAAAGAGTTAGAAAAGGTATCATTTTATGGCATTGCTACTGATGCAAGCAATCACAAATCAAGAAAAATGTTTCCTCTTGTAGTGCAGTATTTTACTGAAGTGGATGGAGTTCAATCAAAACTGCTAAAATTTTTTTCATTAAGTGATGAAACCTCTAAAACAATATCCAGTTTTTGCCTGAATACATTAAGAAAACTAAACCTATCCCTAGAAAATTTAAGTGCTTTTTGTGGCGACAACGCCAATACAAACTTTGGCGGCGTTGATAGACGCGGTGAAAAAAATGTATACTTTGAATTAAAAACTGAAGTAGGAAGAGATATTGAGGGCATTGGATGTCCTGCTCATATTCTACACAACACCATTTCAACCGCTGCAAGCTTATTATCTGTTGATGTCGAAATTATTGTCCTTAAAATTATTTTTCGATATATGTCATTAGAACAGAGAGACTAAAGGAGTTTTGCGATTATGCAGACCTTTCTTACAGTAATTTGTTGTCGCATTCAAGAACGAAGTGGCGGTCATTGTTCCCCGCGGTTGAACGAATTTTAAAACCATGGACTTCACTAAAAGATTTTTTCAGATCCGAAGAGAAACCGCCCGAAATTATTGCAGATTTTTTCGGGAAATTTATTTGATGTTTATACATTCGCAGCTCTTTTTGTTTGAAAAGAATATTAAAAAATTGAAAAATCAAAAATATGTGTTATAGAAACTAAACAACTGCTAGATGATACCAAAGAATCGTTGATTGAAAGAAAGACAAAGAAATTTATTGGAAGTCAAACAAAGATAGAGGTAACTAAATTAAAAGAGAAGTCTTCAGAAGAAGTTATAAATTTAGTACAAAAATTCGAATCAGAAGTCAGCGATTTTTTTGAAAGAGCTATTGGATATCTTGAGAAGTGGTCGTCATCATTTGTGAAGTTTTCCATTTTTGATTGGATGCATTTGTCTCATATACCAGAATGGGAAGACATAGAAAAGACAATTGTGTATTTTATTTCAATTGATATACAAATTTCGGGAGAATCTTGCTTTGATCAGTTTATATATTTGAAAAATTTCTTGACGATCAATATAGATCTTCTGTCCGAGGAATGGCATTGTAAGTCCGTTGAAGAAAGATGGATTCACTTTTTAAGAAACACCGACCATTTGGAACAAAGATCAGAATTCATTAAAATATGTGAATACTTATTTTCAATTCCTTCACGTAATGCCAATTCTGAGAGAATTTTTTCCTTAATGTCAACTCAATGGACCGACGAAAGGAACCGCCTGTTGGCTCAATCTGTAGAAGTAATTTTGCAATGTCAGTATAACTTTAAAATGACGTGTGCTGAATTTCATAAATATATTAAAACGCAAAAAGGTATTGTAAAAAAAGTAAAATCTTCGGAAAAATATATTTAAGCTTCAATTTTTTTTGGCCTCTTTTTTTACCCCTAGGTAGAGGTTTTAACTGAAATACCCCGTATACCTTTTATGTTTCTTAGTTGAGAAATGTTATAGGTTATAGATAATGTTCATAATGTATGCATTTTATTTTTGTTGAATAAAGTTTTTTTCCCCCCGGTGGGCTAAAGTATTTATGGCAACCCTATTCATGGTGACTTTCGAAAGAATATTATGTGTGACCATGCCATCCTTTTCTGTCACAATAAATAGTAAATGGAAAATAGTCTCAGTGGAAGATTGCTGTTCAATCTTCTTGTATGCGATAAAAGATCTTTTCTAACCAGAATCTTAAAGTTGACCTTTTAGTGATTTTTTGATTATTTTTTTAAACGAAAACTGATCATTTTTCGCATGATTGCGAGTTTGTGCCTTATCTATTAACCCTCAGATGAGGGAACTCCTCACCTCTCTGCTTTAGACAAAAGCTTATAGAGCATGTATCTGTGCACATGTTAGCGGAAATGCGCGGGAATTGCGCAAACCGTTTGTCAACGTCTACTTGATATACTGAGCGGATTTTGCATCCGCGTCGGTTTTTGCCGACCCCCTACCCCTCGTGCTCTAGCATACCGTCGGAGGTTTTGGCAACTGTTCGCTAGCAGTTCTCGCACTTCCTTGGCCAAAATAAATCCAACAGATTACCGCCGCAACTGAAATTCTTTGTTATTCCAGCTGCTCACAATTCATTGTGTCATCGAGCTCGCTGGCCACTGGTTTTGGCTGGTCTTGTACAGTTCCGTTGATTTACTGGCAGTGTTCGGAACTTGCTCCCTTCCATTTCCTAATGCTGCTCACACATTATCAATTGTTTCGCACAAACTCCGTTTTGTGGCGTAACAGACGCTCTTGATTACTTTAATAAATATTTTTGTAGGGCTTAATAATTGGGGGTGGTGGGTTGTAGGATGGGGGGAGGGCATTTATCAATTGGTTATGTCAGTATATATGCTTCCTGTTAATTTACGCACCTCTTAGACATATTTGAGACATCAGGTTTCTTCGAGTTTTTATTATTTCTGTTCTAGAACTATGAGAAGCATGCGCGGAAGAAACGGACCTGTTCGGGTTTTTGTTGGATTATTTTCGGACCGTCTTCGAACTGAAATTTGATGTTCGAGTTATACCGAGGTTCAGTTCTAGGATGGTTCGATAGTTCAAGCAGTTCTTGCTTCTCGGATGCGTATTCCTTCTGCCAATGTTATTAAAATCAGTCTTATGTGTTTTGTAATTAAATTTATTTGACGTTTGACGTGTTATGCTTTGATGCTGTTTACTTTTTGCGGATTGAGGAGTGTTTTTTATCTAAAATTAAAAGAAAAGTGGACAAATGGATCCAATGCCGATCATTTTTGATTCCGATTCGTCATCATCATCGTCGTCTGACAGTGATGATGAACTTGAGGCAGTTATTTCCAACTTATTTTTGCCAGAGCTTCTCAAAGATGTTAGCAAAAATAATAATTTCTGTGAGGAAACTGTTCCTTCCTATACTGACAAACAGTTTTTTGAGCATTTTAGGTAAGATATTTTTTTATCCAACAAATCAACTTCCTAAAGACCCGGGGCCACTAGTAGCACTAAACAAAATAATTATTAGTATAGTACATCAAGACTGCACACTAATTTTCATAGAATGCATGTCTTTTTCAGAGTTTCAAGGCAAATTTTTGCTACTTTAAAAAGAGATTTTGAAGAGTCTGAGTTTTATTCAAAGAAAGACACTGGTTTCCAGAGGATAGACAGTGAAAAATGTATCCTGGCATTTCTTTGGTTCACAAGCAATGAGGGTGCAACATTTAGAGATATGGCAGATAGGTTTGATCTGTCACTGAGTACCCTACATGGCATTGTCAACACCATTGTACATTTCTTATCAAATCTGTCTCGAAATGTCATTGTATGGCCATCGGCTCCAGACGCTAACAACATAGCCAGAAGTTTTGCTGAAATGGGGATTCCAGGAGCAATAGGGTGCATAGATGAGAGCCATATTAAAATTGATACCCCCGAGAAGATCCTGATTCTTATGTGAATAGGAAAAAGTTTCATTCGATTCAGGTAAGTGGCAAATTTGTGCAGTATCCAGCTATTTTATGTCAGTATGTGGATATTTTGATAAAGTTTTGATTAAAGTTTTTTTTTTCAGATGCAAGTTATCTGTGATGACAATAGAAAAATAAGGGATGTGTTTATTGGGTACCCAGGTAGTGTCCATGATGCAAGAGTGTTCCGGAATAGTCCGCTGTGCCAAAATTTAGGACAGTGGTGTAAGGACTGGGGGTAATTCTGGGAGACAGCGCCTATCCTTGTTTGAGGAACTTATTAACTCCTTATAAGGATACAGGTAGTTTGTCGCAGGTGCAAAAGAGTTTTAATAAAAAAATGAGTCATTGTAGAGTGTTAATTGAGCACACAATATATTTTTTTCTTACAAATCTAAAAACTGCTTATCGCATAATCACAGAATATTGAAATATCACTTTCCCCACAAACATTGGGAAATATTATTATTATATTATCTTCTATCCTTTGTAATTCTGATAATGAGAATCTCATTTCCAACAATATATATAGACATAAATATCACTCTAAAACATGGAACACTTTGGTATACATTAACATAGAATTCGTGAAAAATAACAGTAAAAGCTAAGGAACTGATAACCTATTGTAATAGCCAAACACTTTGATTTAAATCACTATGTTTGCTGTAGAATATGTATAAACAAAATTTAAATTCCAAAATAAGGAACAAATTATAAACAGAAAACTGAATAATTTTTTCAAAAACAAAACAAAAATACCATTTTGTCATAAAGAACATAAAATTAGCATACTGGAAACTAACATTTTTTTTATTGGGAAGGATCTTTGGAAAAATCATTTTGTTTGAACATATCAACATATTCCCTAATAATTGATTAAATTCTTTTTTCCCTATCAGCCAGTTTTCTTCTCTCAATGTCTAACTTCTCTTGGGCCCTCTGGTCCTTTTTTTATAACTATACTTTCAGATTATTTTTTATTTCTAAAAGTATATCGTTTCTTTTGACATACCTAGGGCTATGTCTTTTCCTTTTTAAAGATGTCTTAGGGGCAGCACAGGACATTTCTCCGGATGTACTTGCTGTTTCTCTGAGGGGATTATCTTTGATTAGAGTATTGTACGAACAAGAAGGTTTAGTATCAATAATTTCTGGAATAGATAATTCGATATGTGCAGAGCTTTCTGTTTGGATTTTAGGTGCCTTTTCTATTGTGGAGGAACTGGATAGCAGTATGATTGGATTTATATTCTTCTTTTTCTCAAAGATCTCATCCATTTCTTGCTCCTATTCAAACAACTTCCTGCCCCTGCCTGTTTTGTTATTGTTTTCAATAACCTTTTTGTAATTTCTTTCTAACACTTTAAATTTATTTTCACACTTATTTGCTGGAACTGTTATTTTATATTCAATAGAAAGATCATGTGCTATGATTTCCCATAGTTTCTTCATATTTTTGACCTCATATGAGCCAAGCTTTTTCCTGTTTACTTTATATAACTGTAAAAGTTTAAGGGTCCTCTTTCTCGTGAAAAACAGTCTAGGGCCTTGTCTTCGGATGATTTATCAGGTACCGGTAGGAAATTATTCATATTCAGTTCTAAAATAGATAAATCTACATTTTACTCAATGTTCTTTTACTAGCGAAAAAGTGTATCAAATTACCTTCGCTTCCTATTTCTAAATCTAAGTAAAAATTAACAAACAAAATATACTAAACCAAACAAAACAAACTGCGTACAAAACTTTTGTGAAAACTTCATAAGAAAGAAGTGTGGTTGTGGTTACTGACAAATGACAAATAATTTTCTGTTCTGTGTTGTCGTAGTCCTGGATTCAGGCTGTTCGGGTTTTGGCAAAATTCTGATAGTTCACGGACTGTTCCTTACCGCTTCCGAGATCTTCCCCTTTACGCATTCAGTCTTGCGCAGTTCCAGAACCGTTCCGTTACAGTACCTACTGAATTTTGAACCCGAAAATACCTATCATTTATTTTCCCATACATTTGACATTAAAACTCTAATAAACATTTTCAGCAGACAATCACGTACCGATCACCACCGGCATGAAGATATTGCACCTTTGGTATCAGCAAAATTCGAAAGCCGTTCCACTGTTAACAAGCTACGGATACCGATAATATTACGCATATAATAGTCATGAACATTTATGCATGTGAAAGACCAGAGACAAATATAGGCGTGCACGACTATATACACGGGCACGCTCATTTCTGATAACTGAGGAAATTTCTTCACGAAAAGTCCAAATAGTGTATTAATGGTTCTGACAAAGCCTACGTATTTTTGATGCCACTGTGTATAGATTAAATTGCATTACATGGACAATTGAACTAGAAGACCTCTCGAGGGTATGGGCAGTATAGAGTCAATCTACTTGATGTTATTTTTAAATATGTTTCCATGATTTTGTCCTGGCCAGAGTTTATGCATCTACTTCTGAACGTCGATGTTATGATGCCTAAAAACCTTCCAGCAACTTTCTAACAGAAGTTGGCATTTCGTTACTTGAGATGTACTATCCTAATATGGGTATCTGTTGGACTCCAAATTAATAATGTTAGCTTTTTCATTCATTTATTATCCGTGTATGGCACAAATTGAGGAGGTGCGTAAAGACATATCTTAGAATAGTTCAAAGAATCTCTCCCTGAAAGATTGCTTCGTATTTAGGATATACTTCGTATAGTCTACAACGAGAGTAAAATTCGTATTGAAAGGCAGGACCGTAAAACTGCCTTAGAGTAGATACTACTTTACATTTTCCTACCTTAAATTGAAGTTGAAATGAATTTTAGTCTAGTAGTCAATAAGATGTCCTGAGTACTGACTCAGTCTACTTGACTCGATTTTTCATTTCGTCGAAAGCACTCCGTTAATGTCAGTATAACACTGGCACCTGTACAAAGCTGGATGCATGCGTCTAAAGTCCACTAAGTTGAGGCTACGAGTATCTCAAAGTGCACTGTACTCGCAGTCAACCTACTTGATGAGATTTTTTATTTTGACTAAAGCGATTCTATTATTATTAAACAACAGTGGAATGATGCTGGATACACTGTACCGCATCTAAAGTCCACCAATTATCGACGAGAGCGACTTCAGTAATTTCATACTGAGATGTCTACAGGGTGTTTCACAACTTATCCGACAAATTTTAACCACATATGCAATGTTACGAAAGAAGTTGTTTTCAAAAAAAAAAACGCAAAAGTCCTACAGAAATTAAGTTATAAACCTGAGTTTCAATAATAAATTGAAAAATAAATATCTGTGTTTTGGGTTCATCGTCGTGATATTAGAACACGCATTAATAATTTATTGTAGCATATGTAATGTATCAAACAACTGATGGAAACAAAATACCAGGATTTTTTTTTTCGTACTGATAAGAACGTGTAAATGAGGTTTAATCTGTATCGTGGGTGATGAAGAACGGTCGATTTTTGTGAAGTTAAATAGAAAGTATTTTGTGAGTTTATGTTTTTATTATTATTTATTATTTATTAATAAAAATGGCACATGTGTACACAAATGAGGAGTTAGTGGACTGTTTTAGCGTACGGAGAAGCAGGGCAAAATTCGCGAGCGGCCTCTCGTTTGTGTTCATACCGATTTCCGAATGGCTAGGTACATACCACATCAGGAAACATTTAGTTCAATTGTTTATGGAGTGGATGAAGGCCGGGTTTGCCCACAATGCGTTTTAGATGCCGAAGACGAAATTTTGGATATTGTGGAACAAAATCCGGTAATAAGCACAAGGCAGTTAGCCCAACAGGTCCCAGAAGTGTCACTTGCAACAGCGTGGTGCATATTACATGAAGCCCAACTGTACCCTTATCACGTCCAGGGAGTCCAGGCGTTGCTACTTACAGACTATATACCTCCTAAGAGTAAACTTTTGTGAGTGGCTGTTGCAAGAAAATGCTCAAAATGCCCATTTTACAGTTTATTTTGGTCACTGATGACGCTATTTTTACTCGTAATGGGATAAACAGTCTTCATCATACATACGTTTGGTCTTTTGGAATGATTTGCCGGTCCTTCTTGAAGATGTGCCATTGGCGGTCGGGGCACGGATGTGGTTTCTGCACGATGGGGCACCTTCGCATTTTCGTTTAACAGTTCGTGATTGTTTGAATCAGATACGCTGGATCGGAAGGGGTGGACCAATTGCATGGCCTCCACGGTCTCCCGATCTAAATCCTCTGGACTTCTTTTTATGGGGATACTTGAGAAACGAGGGATACCGTACTCCACTTCAGAATACCAAAGAATTGCGTGACCGAATCACAGTGGCTGCCGATAATTTGAGCCTTGAGGCACAGTAGGAAGGAGGCGTATTTGAATTATTGAGCCGAAATTGGATTAGACGCGCCGAAGCCTGCATTGCAGTCAAAGGAAACAATTTTGAACAGCTTTTATAAGTAAGTGAACTGTTGAACTGTATTATTTTATTATCTCGATTTCTGTACGAATTTTATTACATTTTTTTTTGAGGAATCGTTTTCTTTTGTAACAGTGCATATGTGGTTAAAATTTGTTGGTTAAGTTGTGAAACACCCTGTATAAGTCTAGGTAATATTGCAAAAATATTGCAGGCTAAAGTCATGGCATACAAGTTTGCGCTAAAGAGCTGATAAGAATTAATGCTTCAAATCAGTCGATCGCCAGGCAGCCATAAAGACATTAAGTTAATCGCAAACATCGTCCAAACTAGTATGGATTCGCGTGAACACTTTCAAAGAGCTGAGAAACCGAAACAAGGTAACATTGCTCTGGGTACCAGGACAGCAAGGGTACAAAGGAAACG